GAGAACTACAGAACACTGCTAAAATAAATCATAGATGACACAAAAGAAGAAATTACTCTTTGCTCATCCATAGGAAGCAGTTACTCATCTGTTGAAGTTTTATCAGGAGATTGCAGTAATCAGTCACATCTTTAGGCTCCACCTCTAGTTTTCTTGCTGTTTTCCACTACATCTGCAGTTACTTCCTCCACTTAAGTCTTAAACCTCTCAGTGTCATCCATGAGGGTTGGAATCAGCCTCTTCCAAACTCCTGCTAATGTTTATATTTTGACCTCCTCTCATGAATCACAAATGTATTTAATGGTATCTAGAATGGTGAATGAATTCTTTCCAGAAAGTTTTCAATTTACTTTGCCTAGCTCCATCAGAGGAATCACTGTCTATGGCAGCTATAGCCCTATGAAGTGTATTTCTTAAATAACAAGACTTGAAAGTCAGAATTACTCCTTGATCTGCAGGCTGCATAATGGATATTGTGTTAGCAGGTGTGGAAACATTAATCTCCTTGTCTACCTCTATCAGAGCTCTTGGATGATCAGAAGCATCGTCAATGTGCAGTAATATTTTGAGAGGAATCATTTTTTCTTAGCAATGGATCTCAATAAGGGGCTTATAATATTCAGTAAACCATGCTGCAGAGCTGCTGTGGTTCAGGCTTTGTTTTTCCATTAATAGAATACAGGCAGAGTAGATTTAGCATAATTCTTAAGGGCTCTCGCATTTTTGGAATGGTAAATGAACACTGGCTTCAGCTTAAAGTCACTGGCTACATTAGCCTGTCCTTTGAAGCTTTGAAATCAGGTGTTGACTTCTTCTCTCTAGCTATGAAAGTTCTCAGTGGGATCTTCTTCCAATAGGAGGCTATTTGATCTACATTGAAAATCTGTTACTTAGTGTAGCCATCTTCATTAGTGATCTTAGATCTTCTGGGTAACTTGCTGCAGCATCTAGACAACCTTAGCACCTGCTGTTTTCACCTTGCATTTTTATTACTGGCGATGGCTTCTGCCTTAAACATCATGAGCCAGTTTCTGCAAGCTTCAGCATTTTCTTCTGCAGCTTCACCTCCCTCAGCTTTAATAGAATTGAAGAGAGTTAGGGTCTTGATCTGGACTAGGCATTGGCTTAAGGAATGTTTGCCTGGTTTGAGCTTCTATCTAGACAATTAAACTTTCTCTATATTAGCAGTAGTGCTATTTTGCTTTCTTATCATATGTGTGTTCAGTGGAGTAGCATTCTTAGTTTTCTTCAATAACTTTTTCTTTGTATTTATAACTTGTCTAACTGGTGCAAGAGGCTTAGCGTTCAGCCTGTCTTGGCTTTTGACATACCATAGTCACTAAGCTTAAACATGAGAGACATACAACTTTTCCTTTCACTTGAACACTTAGAGGCCATTGTAGGTTAATTAATTGGCCTAACTGCAATAGTTGTTCTCTCCGGAATGGGGAAGCATACAGGAAGACAGAGACTGCCAGTCAGAACACACCTAACATTCATCAATGAAGTACTTATGTGGGCACAGTTTGTGGTGCCCCCAAATGATTACCGTAGTAACATCAAAGATTGCTGATCACAGATCACTATAGCAGGTAAAATAATATTGAAAAAGGTTGAGATGTTATTGAGAATTACCAAAATATGACAGAGACATGAAGTCCCAGCACGTGTGATTGGAAAAATGGGCCAAGAGGCTGACATGATGTAGGGTTGCTGCAAACATTCAAGTTGGAAAAATCTCAGTATCTGCAAAGCACAAAAGCAAAGTGCGATAAAATAAGTCATGCCTGTAATTGATCATTTACCTGCTTCTCTTTGGACTTAGCTTAAAAAAAAAAACCCAGCAAAAAACTATTATGTGCAAGTTCCTTTTAAGTGAGAATTAATTTATACCTTACTTATTTAAATATCCTTGATAATACCAGTATAGGGTAATGGAATAGAGCTTAAACGCTGAAGTCAGGCAAACCTGTATTCCAGTGTGGGTGCCTTGGTCTGGTGGCTGTATGACTTTGGATATGTTATTTGGCCACTCTGAACTTCACTTTCCTCATCTGTGAAACAGAACCAGTGATTACTGTGAGGAGTAAATCTGTAAAACTACAGAAAGAACATGGCATGATAGCTAGTCATTATGAACATGGAAAGTTACTCAGGATCATTCATCTGTTACTACCATTATCCAGAGTGATGCAAGTTGGAAATTTTTGTGTTTAATCTCTTTTTTTGGCATATATCATAGAGTATTGAAGTAACCTATTTATTTGTGTCTTTTTGTCTAGATTGGGTGCTCTCTGAGGACAGAGACTGTCTCATTGACTCTTGTATTTCTAGTGTTCAGCACAGTGCCTTTCAGAAGGTAGACATTCAGTAAAGATTAGTGAAATAATTGAAGAGATTTTTAGACCTGTGTTCTTTTTTTTCGCTAAAAATAAACTTTATACTTGCCTTTAGTGTGACTTGAAATTCAGAATTAAAATGTGATATCTGAAAACAAACTAATGTTTTGTGTAAAAGCATTGTTTTATTTTCAAAGTGCTTATTAGGTAGCTTGAAAGATTATGATACACAACCCATGGGGTTCCATTCTACCTGGCTCTATAAATTGCCCTGAAACAACTTGAGCTTGGATGTCAGTTAGAATACTTACTAGATATATAACTTTAGCTTCTTCAATTCTGAAATTATGAGGATTGGATTATAATAGACTTTAAAGATATCTGTCTTTAATTTTTACTTTACTAATAATACTTAATAGTTGAGTGCTCACTGCATGCTAGATAACCCACTCAACACTTTTTATGTATTATCTCTTAATCCTAAGAAATCTTAAGTGGCTACTGTGTTTATTATGGTCACTTTACCAATGAAAACAAGCACAGGAACTCAGTACAGAAAATTAGGAAGAGTATCACCAGTGCATTTATTGAGTAGAAAAGCACCTGAATGCTTGTCATGGTGGTCAGTGAGAGAGAGGTGAATGCGGATTCACCTCCTACTTCTAAACTTGGATTGTTGCAACAGTGAAGGCTTAAACACCAGGAGGCTGCCCAAATGTTATACTGCACTCCAAAGTTGGCCAGACATATCATCTGAATGGTAATGCCGGGAGAGGAGGGGGCACCTTAAGGCGACTTGAGGCATCATAGCACTGTTTTGAGAAGTCAGACGCTCAGCTTCTAAAGTTGTGATATATCCCACATGTTTCAAGAAATTTAACATAGCAAAGGAACACTTTTCCCTCCCAAGAGTCCTAAAAAATGTGTTTTCCGTGTTTAAGTACCTGTATTGAGTTCTGCTCTCAATTTGAAGCCCCAGAGTTCTTCTAGCAGTCCTCATCAGCCTTTTCCCATGAAGTCAGAAGTCAGCCAGTGAATTGCTACTGTTGGCAATAAATAAGAGGTAGATCATTAATTCGAAAAGTGTGTGTTTTGTTTTTTAAAAAAGCTTTCTTTTATTTCCTTTTATACTCATTTAGGTTTTTCTACTTCCTCTGATTATAATAGTATTCCAGGCCAACGTTATTTTCTCATTTGTGTGTGTGTGTGTGTGTGTGTGTGTGTGTGTGTGTGTGTATGTGTGTGTGTCATACAGATAGACTGACCTATTCTGTACAGCATGTCAAATAAGTTTCTCCTATGGGCCCGCCTTGGTGTCTATTACTGATTTATAATATTCCTATGGAAAAATGTGTTCAAAATTTTGTGTAACTTTTCCACATTGGGAATACCTGTTATTCCATAAGGATTAAGTTTGAAAGTTATTTTAATCATAGGTTAACACCCTTATTAATACTTTAAAATTAAAGTAGATTTAGAGGTTCAAGAAAAAAATAAAAACTTTAAATTGTGTCTGAAGATTTGAAAATTTTATTTTGTTATTTATTTATTTGAGATGGAGTCTTGCTCTGTCACCAGGCTAGAGTGTAGTGGCGCAATCTTGGCTTACTGTAACCTCCACCTCCCAGGTTCAAGGGATTCCCCTGCCTCAGCCTGATGAGTAGCTGGCACTACAGGCAAACACCACCACACCCAGCTAATTTTTTTTTGTATTTCATAGAGACAGGGTTTCACCATGTTGTGCAGGATGGTCTCGATCTCCTGACCTCGTGGTCCTCCTGCCTCGGCCTCCCAAAGTGCTAGGATTACAGGTGTGAGCCACTTTGCCTGGCCTGAAAATTTTATTTTAAATTGTTCATGCCACCAAAGGGGAAAGAAATGAGAGAGTGTTTGTGCATGCATAGACATGCATAAATTAGGGATCATTTTGATTGATTTTAATCACAGGCATCCTAATCATGTTTTGTCTGAATTTTGTGGAATGAGTAGATAAATTATCTCATTTAATGGTAGATTTCAAGAATATTGGAATATTAGAAAATACTGTGTCATGTTAGCCAGAATGTTTGTAGATACATTGCAGCAAATTAATGAATGATTAGATAAACTTAAGGAAGTTTGACTTGAGCCATCATGTATTGAGAATAAATGGATTTGAATATACCTTTTTTTTTTTTTAAATTCGAATACTTAGCACTTTTTGTTGTTTTGTCAGTCGTTAAAAAGGTAAAGGCAGAGTACAAAGTTGATATTGGAGAAACTAGTTTGGGAAAACAACTGATGTTCTGACAGGACGATTCTGAAATTCGTATTAATTACCTTTTAAAATCATTGTGCCTTGAGTTATGAAGAAAGCTATCATCCTTGAGCCACGTAATCCCACACAGCCTTCATGCAGCCAGGAGCATGGAATGCTGGGCACTTGGCATGACTTTCGGCCTTGTTTATTTCTCTCACTCTCTGGAGCCTGTGGTATGGGACCCCCTCTTTAGGGTATCCATGGGAGTTTAGGCCTCAGAGGTTTCATTCCTTATTTTTTTTCATTCCTTATTTTATTTATGTATTTTGTGTAATACATCAGTATTTTTTAAGCTTAATTCACTTCAGTTTGATGTTTGAGACTGGGCATCCCTCGTCTAATAGTGCTCTTACTTTTTATAGGTATGCCTTACATTTTCTTGTACAAAGTGGAATTTCCTACTGTATTATGATCATCATAGGAGTGGAGAACATGCACAAGTAAGTATTCACTTTGTTCACATGCAAGTACATATTTCACTTGAATAGAATTGCATTAGAATAGAATTTTATTTATTACTTTAAAAGTAATTCTGAATTATAATGTTTTAAAGAAGAATTGTCATAAATACAAAAATAAAGTCATTGTTATACATCATTCTTCTTTTTACTTAAAGCACCATTGACATTTTGGGATGGATGAGTCTTTGACTTTCAGGACTAACCTGTACATTTTAGGATATTAAGTAACATTCCTGGCTTTTACCCCCTAGATGCCAGTAGCACCCCTTGAGCTGTGACTAACCATAAATGTTTCCAGATATTTTCAGCTATCTCTTGGAGGAGCAAAATTGCCTGTTGTTAAGAACCACTGGTTTAGTCTGTTGGTGATAGCAGTGGAGAGATAGAGAAGTGAGTAGGTTGGAGAGAGATTTAGAAGGACTGGTAGGAAATAAAGTGTCAAGGATGACTTCCATGTTTCTAGCTTGAACAGTAGGGTAGATGGAAGCACTGTTTTCTGAGGTGGGAAGCCCTGAAAGTGGGGAGCATGTTGTGGGCATAGAGCATTTCAAGTGGGTATGTATTCAACCCCTAAACAGTGCTTGGTGTATAGTAAACACTCAGTGAATTTTTGCTGTGTAAATGGATGCTGACTTTAAGATATCTGTAAGACACGTGAGAGGAGATGGGTAACTGAGGAGATGTGTAGTAGGAACTGGGTAGCTGGACTAGAGATGTAAGTTTGGGAATAGAGATGGATAAAATGTACTTGGTTGAAAACCTAGGGACAGAATATATCAGCAGATCCTGCTGGGGTGTTTTGCAGTGTCTGAACTGTGATGTATGACATATGCACCATATTTCTGAATTCTGAATCACATATGTCTGCAAAAGCTTTGTCTAAGGAATCAGACCAATGGCTTTAATTAGCTTGTTTCTAAGTCTCATTCTATTTTGCATTTTCTGTGTTTGGCACTCAGTCACCCTCTGTTGTAATGTGTACTGTCTTCTCAATTTCCTTTGACACTGCCTGCACTGACTTTTCTTTTTCTTCTGTAAACTAACACTTACAAGTTCCTGATGACTTTAATTTTTATAAGAGGAGAAAGGATATTTAGATGGTGTTTCAGATGAAGCAATTTTTATGGGATTATGACCCTATTTAAAAAAAAATTTGTACCTCTGACAGGTTCAAAGTGATGCTATAATTAATATCTGATGCAAAAGATATTAACCAGGTTTAGATTAGATTAGATTACTGAAAACAGGAGACTTACATATATTTTGGCTAAAGCAAAGGTAATCTGCTTTTCACTTGGAAGGTTGGTAAATTTTGTGTTTAGAAATGGCAAATTGTTTCTTTTTCTGAAAGGCAGTTACAGTCTGTGAAGTTAACTTAATACTTTAGACCTGTACTGTTCAGCATGACAGTCACTAGCACACATGTGAGTGTGCAAATTAAATAAAAATGGAAAATTCAGTTCCTTAATTACACTAGCCACATTTCAAGTGCTTACTAGCCACATGTGGCTAGTGGCTACATTGGACAGTGCAGATAGAGAACATTTCTGTCATTGCAGAAAATGATATTGCATAGTGCTGCTTTAGAGACATATATTTTTATGAAATTAGTAATGTTACTCTTTTACAGTAAGTATTAAGGGAGATAATGCTACTTGCTTATATGCTGCTATTTAGGTTGGAATGTTGGTGTTGGAATTTGACACTATTGATGTAGAAGATTAGGGCAGGTAAGTAAGGTTTGCCATGTAAGTCAATTGCTAGGGTTGGCAATAAATAGCAGGTGGATAATTAATTTGAAAAGTGTGTATTTTAATCTCTTTTTTAGCTCTCTTCTATTTAGCTTATACCCATAAATATTTTTCTATGATTTGACTTTTTAACTTATATGCTCCCCCCCCCTTTTTTTCTTCCTGTTTAGGCCTTTACAGTAATTAAAAATGTGTGATGGGTCAGACCTTCAAGTATTTCACCCAAATACTCTAGATGGGACGTAGAGTATTTTTATGTGTTGTCCAGAGTTATTGTTTGTGTGCAATACACTCTGTTTATTTCTTTCAATCTAGTTCTACATGGTATATACGTATCTTACATTATGTTTTTTATTTTTTTTATTTATTTTTATTTTTATTTTTTTTATTGCATTTTAGGTTTTGGGGTACATGTGATGAATATGCAAGATTGTTGCATAGGTACACACATGGCAGTGTGCTTTGCTGCCTTCCGTCCCCTCACCTGTATCTGTCATTTCTCCCCATGCTATCTCTTCCCACCTCCCCACCCCCCCGCCCCTCCCCCATTTCCCCCCAACAGACCCCAGTGTGTAGTGCTCCCCTCCCTGTGTCCATGTGTTCTCATTGTTCAACACCCGCCTATGAGCGAGAATATACGGTGTTTGATTTTCTGCTCTTGTGTCAGTTTGCTGAGAATGATGGTTTCCAGGTTCATCCATGTCCCTACAAAGAACGTGAACTCATCGTTTTTGATGGCTGCATAATATTCCATGGTGTATATGTACCACATTTTCCCTATCCAGTCTATCATCGTTGGGCATTTGGGTTGGTTCCAGGTCTTTGCTATTGTAAACAGTGCTGCAATGAACATTCATGTGCACGTGTCCTTGTAGTAGAATGATTTATAATCCTTTGGATATATACCCAGTAATGGGATTGCTGGGTCAAATGGGATTTCTATTTTTAGGTCCTTGAGGAATCGCCACACTGTCTTCCACAATGGTTGAATTAATTTACATTCCCACCAACAGTGTAAAAGTGTTCCTATTTCTCCACATCCTCTCCAGCATCTGTTGTTTCCCGATTTTTTAATGATCGCCATTCTAACTGGTGTGAGATGGTATCTCAATGTGGTTTTGATTTGCATTTCTCTGATGACCAGTGATGATGAGCATTTTTTCATATGTTTGTTGGCCTCCCGTATGTCTTCTTTTGTAAAGTATCTGTTCATATCCTTCGCCCATTTTTGAATGGGCTTGTTTGTTTTTTTCTTGTAGATCTGCTTTAGTTCTTTGTAAATTCTGGATATCAGCCCCTTGTCAGATGGGTAGACTGCAAAAATTTTTTCCCGTTCTGTTGGTTGCCGATTCACTCTACTGACTGTTTCTTTTGCCGTGCAGAAGCTGTGGAGTTTGATTAGGTCCCATTTGTCTATATTGGCTTTTGTTGCCATTGCTTTTGGCGTTTTGGTCATGAAGTCCTTGCCTACACCTATGTCCTGAATGGTTTTCCCTAGATTTTCTTCTAAGGTTTTTATGGTATTAGGTCTTATGTTTAAGTCTTTAATCCATCTGGAGTTAATTTTGGTGTAAGGTGTCAGGAAGGGGTCCTGTTTCTGCTTTCTGCACATGGCTAGCCAGTTTTCCCAACACCATTTATTAAACAGGGAGTCCTTTCCCCATTGCTTGTTTTTGTCAGGTTTGTCGAAGATCAGATGGTTGTGGGTATGTTGTATTTCCTGTGAGGCCTCTGTTCTGTTCCATTGGTCTATATCTCTGTTTTGGTACCAGTACCATGCTGTTTTGATTACTGTAGCCTTGTAGTATAGTTTGAAGTCCGGTAGTGTGATGCCTCCTGCTTTGTTCTTTTTGCTTAGAATTGACTTGGCTATGCAGGCTCTCTTTTGGTTCCATATGAAGTTTAAGGTGTTTTTTTCCAGTTCTGTGAAGAAGGTCATTGGTAGCTTGATGGGAATAGCGTTGAATCTGTAAATTACTTTGGGCAGTATGGCCATTTTCACGATGTTGATTCTTCCTAACCATGAACATGGAATGTTTCTCCATCTGTTTGTATCCTCTCTTATTTCGTTGAGCAATGGCTTGTAGTTCTCCTTGAAGAGGTCCTTTACGTTCCTTGTTAGTTGTATTCCTAGGTACTTTATTCTCTTTGTAGCAATTGTGAATGGCAGTTCGTTCTTGATTTGGCTCTCTTGAAGTCTATTACTGGTGTATAGGAATGCTTGTGATTTTTGCACGTTGATTTTGTATCCTGAGACTTTGCTGAAGTTGTTTATCAGTTTCAGGAGATTTTGGGCTGAGATGATGGGGTCTTCCAGATATACAATCATGTCATCTGCAAATAGAGACAATTTGATTTCCTCCTTTCCAATTTGGATACCCTTTATTTCTTTTTCTTGCCTGATTGCTCTGGCTAGAACTTCTAGTACTATATTGAATAGGAGTGGTGAGAGAGGGCATCCTTGTCTAGTGCCAGATTTCAAAGGGAATGCTTCCAGTTTTTGCCCATTCAGTATGATATTGGCTGTTGGTTTGTCGTAAATAGCTTTTATTGTTTTGAGATATGTTCCGTCAATACCTAGTTTATTGAGGGTTTTTAGCATAAAGGGTTGTTGAATTTTGTCAAAAGCCTTCTCTGCATCAATCGAGATAATCATGTGGTTTTTGTCTTTGGTTCTGTTTATGTGGTGAATTACGTTTATGGACTTGCGTATGTTGAACCAGCCTTGCATCCCCAGGATGAATCCTACTTGATCATGGTGGATGAGCTTTTTGATATGCTGTTGCAATCGGTTTGCCAGTATTTTATTGAAGATTTTTGCATCTATGTTCATCATGGATATTGGCCTGAAATTTTCTTTTCTTGTTGAGTCTCTGCCGGGTTTTGGTATCAGGATGATGTTTGTCTCGTAAAATGATTTGGGAAGGATTCCCTCTTTTTGGATTGTCTGGAATAGTTTCAGAAGGAATGGTATCAGCTCCTCCTTGTATGTCTGGTAGAATTCAGCTGTGAACCCATCTGGACCTGGGCTTTTTTTGGGTGGTAGGCTCTTTATTGCTGCCTCGACTTCAGACCATGTTATTGGTCTATTCAGGGTTTCGGCTTCTTCCAGGTTTAGGCTTGGGAGGTTGCAGGTGTCCAGGAATTTATCCATTTCTTCCAGGTTTACTAGTTTATGTGCATAGAGTTGTTTGTAATAATCTCTGATGATGGTTTGGATTTCTGTGG